TTACTTGTGGCTGTTCTTTATCCACCAGCCACAGTTATCTACATTTTTTTGTTATAAATTCACTGGGCCAGGGTTTAATTGGTTGAAATTATAGATGTCCTTCTCAGCCATAAAGTATTCATACCTAGTGTTTTCATAATGTTAAAACTACATGTATTTCCCTGGAATATTATGTGATGTATTGACCCAAACCAGTGAAAGAAAGATATTGGATTGCTTTAGTAAAATACATTTACATGTGAAAAGTTAAACAATCAGTTACACTGAGACCATTATACTTAAAAATCTCTAAATAACTCCTTTTACTAATCATTATGATAAAGTCATGTGATTTTAACCACAAATAAACAAATTAGTAAACATAGCTTTCTTCAGTCCACCATTTAAAAAATAGAAAAAGACTATGGTCTGCAAATCTACCAAAGTCAGATAGCTCTCTGCAGATACTCCGAAGGAGCTGCAGATCCACCTCAGTAGAGTTATTGTCAAAAGGGCACTCCACAAGTATGGGCTTTAGGAAAGAGTGAAAAGACCAAAGCCATTACTGATAAGTATGTACAGTAAGTAATCCCATTTCTTTTAGCTAGGAACCATGTAAGGCAATAGCAAGGCAAGTTTATTTATTTAGCAAAAATTGTTGGGATCCGGAGGCTTGCCCACCAGAGGGCACCAAGGATCCCTTCCTGAGGGCTTGTGCTCACCTGCAACACCTGTTTTCCATCTGCTCATCAAGAGGTCCCTACTTAAGGAGGTGGAGAGCTTCACTCCAGTGCCAGAGTGTTTGCCAGTTATGGTTAGCAAGCCGGAGCCAACCTGCCTGTCTGAATCTCTGACTCCCTGAAAACCTGAACCTGATCTGTTTGTCCTCTCTGCTTCCCAGGTTGTACCTGCCTGAAACCAGAAACCCTGAAGAGTTCCGCTGTTGGAATTCTGTCTGTCTGATCTCTGAAGAACTCTGTAGAGTCAAACCAGTCAAAGAACTGCCTGCCTGCTCTCTGAAGAATCTGGAAGGGAAACTAAAACCTGTGATCTGCAAACCAAGCTCTGCCTCCACCAAGCCCTTAGCTTGCCGCCTGCCTCTGGACCCTCCTGGTTTCCCCCCTCTGCCGCTCTGCTCAAACTCCAGAACAGGTACAGACCTGCACCTTCACATCCTGCAAATTACCTGGACATCAGCTAACTCCTCTGTCCCCCTCTGCAGTGAACCCAGTCGTGACCAGTCCTGGATCTGATAACCCTGGATCTGTCAATTCCCTGTACAGTGTTCTAACAATAAACCTTTGAACTTTTTCCCTGTCTGATGAGTGTTCTGCACGTGGGTTAGGAACCTTTAAACAAACATGACAAAAATAAGTACATGGAAAATTTAAAGTACTTTACATGAATTAAACAATAAAACAGAGGAAAAATAAATGCAGAATAAAAGAAAATTAAGATAAAACATGATAAAAGCAGGTAGTAAAGCAAATAAAACAGTTGCACCCCAATCTTAAACTAATAATACCTCCGTTAACAGTTTAACCTCAACACTCAAAGGCAGTTCTTAACAAAGGAGTTTTAAACTTTGATTTTTTTAAAAAAACGCAGGCTTGCAGGACTTCCAGTCTACTAGGAGTTTGTTCCAGATCAGTGGAGCATAGGAATCAAATGCTGCTTCTCCATGTTTGGTTCTAGTTCTGGGTGAACAGAGTAGGCAGGAACTAGAAGACCTGAGTGGTCTGGGATATGAAAAACTGATAACAAATCTGTTATGTATTGAGGTGCTGATCCATTCAGTGATTTATTGAAGAACACAAGGATTTTAAAGTCTATTATCTGAGCTACAAGGAGCCTCTAGAATGACTTCAGAATCAGGCTGATGTATTCTACTTTCTTGGCTCTAGTGAGAACACAGGCAGCAGTGTTTTGGATCAGCTACAGCTGGACTTTGCAAACCTTTGAAGAGATAAACACATGAATACAATTTTTATAGATCCCACTTGGACATTAGTCCTGGCAATTGTGGCAAACCCCTTTTGGTAGCTGCTAAATATTGAGCCTAAGGGAAAATAGAAGAACAGAACTAGAAGCAGAGCCACAGCTACAGTTAGATGGTTTCGGGGGTCCTGTCAAAGCTCAAACAATGATCCGACTGAGAATGTCTTCATGCATTCTGACTCAGTTCAAGCTATTTTGCAAAATAAATAAAAAAAAGGTCAAACATTCAAACATGTATGTTTCTGAGGAAAGCTGTTGGTAAAATTCTACAGAAGAATTGCAGCCTTTACTTTAGTAAAAGATGGTTCAACAAGGTTGGATTTAAATTGATTTTAAGGCTTTTCACCTAATTTAATAAAATAATAGAATGTTGCGTAAGGTAATATGTAGACGTAAATTTTTCGATGTATCCATTGATTCCTAGCACCTAACTCTGGATAATTCATTGAGTTTATGCCATGTTCATCAGTAATCAATAAACACACAAGCTAAATAAAATAGAAAACAGTGTTTGCCACTTTTAAGCCACATCAGCCGGAGTACAAGGCTTCCACACTGCACTTAATTTTAATTTGACCCTCTGCTTTAGAGTTTTGTTGCCTTCACAGCGCGACAGTTTGGAGACGTTCTCTGGGTGACCAAAAACAAAATGTACCCTGGGGTTTAGCTGAGAAACTTTAATCAAAGCAATTAAGAGCCAGTTTTTTATGTACAGTGGGAAGGAGCCAGTTTAATTAAGGCTAAGCAATAAGAGCTGGTTGTTTTTTGTCTTGTTTGTTGTCTATTTTTTCTTCCCATAAATGGTCTTTATCACGCACAGCAAAAAAGAAAAAAAAAAACAAGAGATAAATGAAATGACTTCATGTCCATTCATCAATACCACTTACGGAGTAATGGACCCGCAAACCACCGCGTCTAAAGAGCAGCAGCAGTCAAACTGGAGAGGCGACACTTGTAAAGCTTTTTACTGTCGTTCTGTTGTTTCAGCTAAAGTGGATATCTGTTTGTTTGTGTTTACTGTGTGGGCAGAAATGCTTTTCCAAGCTGAAGATATACCAATAAGTGCATGTATGAGGAAGGATTAACAGCAAGAACTTTAACCTTAAAATCCTGCTTTAAATTTTACACACATATTTTATAGATTTGTGTTTTCAAGAATCCAAGTGCAGTGAACCTGTTCACTTATATGAATTTTAATAAATCCACAGCCCAAATATAAATTAGACCTTCAAATAACAGAGGCTAGTTTTAAAAAGGGATACCAATTAAATTAATGTGAATTTAATAATCCCGTTACAATCTTTCTTTCATCACATGTGACAATAATGTTGGGTTGTTGTTTTTTTGTTTTGTGTTTTTCATTTTACAAGATGTGGTACTTGAGATGGATGAACTTTTTTTTAACATTTGGTTGTTCTTTTAAGGCAGTTCGTGAGAAGCTTAATCTTATAAAAATAAGGAAATTTAATTTTTAATGAAATCCCCAAGTTTGTTTATTTTAATGCAAGTGAGTTTAAAAGCATGTGTCAAAATGACCAAATTAGATTTTTTTGAAAGCTTTCTTATATAAACTTCTCCTTTACTGCGGTAACAATATGATACAAAAACAACCCATAAAGTTCATTTAGTAGAATGTGCATAAGAACTGATGGCACTCATCCTGAACAGACTGATTTTAGTCCCTCTGATAGAATCTGGGCCATCAGTAGCAGCACCTCATGGCACCAGAACAGTTTCATCTTACCTACTGCTTGTTTGATGAACAATGGTCCATCTTCTCCCAGCTGACAGCTCCACTCCAACACCCCATTAATTACTTTTGTTTACCTACCTACCTACCTACCTACCTACCTACCTACCTACCTACCTACCTACCTACCTACCTACCTACCTACCTACCTACCTACCTACCTACCTACCTACCTACCTACCTACCTACCTACCTACCTACCTATATACATACATACATACATACATACATACATACATACATACATACATACATACATACATACATACATACATACATACATACATACATACATACATACATACATACATACATACATATTGGTTTCCAGTATAATACATTAAATGCATTTTTTGAAGCTCTTATTAACTTTTAGTAGTAAAGCAAGTATAACACAGAAATGTTCAATTTAATCCATAATAATTTTTCAAGGTTACAAATAATTATAGCACTGGGGGCATAATAAAAGTTTAAATAAACAAACAAAAAATAAAACAACAACAATGTTTGTTCCAACTCTGAAGAAAAGAAATGAAATCTGAAATATTTGAACATTTTCAATATGAGACAGGAATGAACATTTTAATAGATTTTTTTTAGGGGGAGAGATATACATATTTTAGAGTAATTTAGGGGAGGGACATTTTAAATAAAATAAAGCTGTCTCCCCCTCACTTTGCTGCTCTTTGAAGTGTTCCTCCTGGGGTTGAGCCCTCAGTTTATTCAATTATTAGTTGTATTTTTGTCTTCTTCCTCTCATTTAAAGACAGCTGATAAACATTTTTTTCAGCATTTGTTTTTACCGGCAGCTACTTTACCCCATAGAAAAATGTCACCTTTCATAATACTACTTGTTTTCCTGTCGGTTAATAAACATTGCTGTAGAGAATATTTGCTGGTAGGTTGGAAACAACGGTGGACCAAACTACGTGGTTAAAGTGGTCATGATCTTTTAATAATAAAGAAATGGGTTTCATATTTATAATGTAGATTGCTTGTTCTGTGCTTTTATTTATATATCACAGTATAATCATTTTATTCTTAATAATAATCATACCCTATGTTTTCTCTGGGATTTCTGTTTAATTGCTTAAATAACACCTCAACTTTACCAGGAGTGTCCATATTAGTTTTTCATTTGCCATATATAATGTGAACCCTGTATTTTAAAATTATCTATGATTCATAAAAATATAAGGGAAAACAGAGAATGCAAAATCCATCTTTTTAAAGAAGAAAAAACAGAAGGTAACAAAATAAAACCTGGGATCAAATATCTTATTGTTTAAGTACTGCTAAAACACTTATCAACAGCCAATCAAACAATTGGTACAGATTACACAAAGCAAGCTGTTGACTGATGGATCCCTTTTGGCAGGGAGCTGTCTGAAGATATCACCACCAATCCTTTGCTCACTGCCTGATCCTGCACATCCAACTTCAGCGACCTCAGCTGTAAAAACACAACGTGTTCACTTTTCCTTCACCTCCTCTTCTTCCCTACCCTGTCCTGCTGGGCGAGTAGAGGGGGTGTTAACGTAGTGGGTTTTTTGTGTTGATATCCAGATGCTGAAGTACGAAGGGAGCTTAATAATTTAGAGGCTGACTTGGTTGAGCGCCTAGAGACACGCCTCAACATGTCCTTCCCTTTGTGCCTTCTACTCCCGTCCTGACTTTTAGTTTGCACAAGGCGATGCAAGAGAGTGAAAGTTTATGTTATTCTCCAGAGCGTATCAGTTCGTTCACGTTTATGCAGCCAAAAGGTGTTTTGTTGAAAGAAGCAGGATCAGGAGTCAGGTGCATTCTTGCTCCTTTTTGGGAAAAGAAGAAGAGAAGTTTAGCAAAGAAAGAGAGGTCAATTGAAATGGTATTGAGTGAAAGAATGAGGAGGATAGTTCTCCCTCCTTCAGCCCCTCAGGCTCCATAAAATTGCAGCGGGTAGTGAGCCGTCCCCCTGGAGCATCACAAGCATAAACACTCACTCATGAATGGTCTGCATTGAGCTGCCGCTGGAAGGGGATGCAGAGGTCACCAGCGGACCCCTCCTAGTGCAGAGAGGTCACCACACTGACCGCCCTCAACACAGCAACATGTAAAAAGTTGAAGTTGAGAGTTCAATTCCCCTTCTTGCTCTTCCATCAAACCTCACCCCCTCCTGGATCCCTACAGAGAGCCTCCCGCTGCGCTGTAAGAGAATAAGTGATTATTTGTTCAGACTGGGGAAGTCTTCAAGCATTAGGGACAGAGCATCAATCTGCCAGACTGTGAAAGTGCCTGCAATAACAAAAGCAGGTAACAACTGTGGAAAGTTTTCCATAAGGTAAACATGCACCTACTGTGGTTAAGGCACGCGATCATAAACTGATAAATTGCTTTCTCCTTGAAAAGAGTGAGCTTAAGCACCAGTCTGAACCCTCAGTCAGCTGTAAATAGGGTGGAAAAGTGGGGAAAGATGAATGAGTTTGACAACCTCAATTTTAAGCTCCTTTCATGAAAGTTTGCTTTCTTGGTTTAGCTTGGATGGAAGTATCAGTTAGTGTTACTGATAAGTTTCCCTAAAAACATTTCCATTTTACCAGAAAAAACAGCAAATACAGCAAAAGTAGGATGTTTTTTCTTTGAAAGACTCGCAGTGGGAAACAACTTGTTAAACAGTACATTGTTGGATGTAAAAGTGCTGGTTTTCATAGGCAGAGCCAAAAAAATAGTTTCCCTTAACTGCAAGTTATGTTTAGCCAACATTATCTCCTGCTCATGGTTGACATGCACTCTAAATGACTATACTCAGAAAGTTGAGGCAGAGACCAAAAAAGAAAACAGTATCCCATGCTTCAAATGTCACATTCACAAGAACATTTGTAAAAGGGGAAGGCTATGGTACAGCCAAACCCCACAAGACATCTCCATCCTGCTGAACTAACAGGCCAGGCGAGGAGAGCATTGATCAGAGCCAGTGAAACTCATAGTAACTTCAGAAGAGTGGCATAGATCCCCAGCTACTTTGAACACCACTAATCTGTATTTTATGGAAGAGCCATAAGGGGAAAATCAAAGAAGTCTTTGACGTCAAATTGTCTTGCACGTTTTATATTGGTCTCTGCTCCCACACTCTTTAACCAAATGACTGAATAAGATCCTCACAATGTGGTCAGGTTCTCTAGTGTCCTGCTAATGATATTATTTTATTAAGGTGTGTTGAAGCAAATCCACATCTAAAAGGTGAAGGACATTGAACCTCAAGAACCGGAATTAAAGATGTTACATATATAGAAGATGCGTCGTTTGTAGTTTAACCACAAGTAGGTAAAGGACTCACCAAACACATTGAAAAATACCACAAGGTGTGGTGGAAAACTAATTCTAGTCATCGCTCTGACCACATGATCCCGTCTTTGAAAAATGGTGGTGGTGGTGGTGTGGGAGGGGCTTGGCCTAATCTCAGCAGGGATAGGGAAGAATGGCTAGTTCTGAAACTCTCAAAAACTGGCTTATACCAGTTAAATAATCTTGACCAAAAAATGCTTTTATAGATTGCAATAAACATTTTAAAGCAAAACTGTGTAACTTTTGACCCAAGTATCACCTTAATATAAGTAATAATAATAATAATAATAATAAATAATAATGTTTTGTCCATTTTTGTACCTCCTAGAGTCATTGTCTTTGGACCATATTTCAGATGGGGGGTCCTAAGTTTGCTTTCTGAGCATTATCTCCCTACGCTACGTAAAGGAGGGATAATAACTGGGTTTCCTCTTTCTAACCCTTCGTCAGCAAGTCCCCCTTAGATGACCCATCCTCATTAGGGCTGCAGTTAACAATTACTTTGCAAATAGATTAATCTGTTGATTATCTTTTCGATTCATCAATTGTAATTAGAAAGCAAAAGATTCCTTAAAGAAGACTTTTTGTGAAATTAAACCAAGTGAAAATAAAGCTTTCCCACTTCAGTAGCTCTAGATAGAGCATATTGACAGAAGAAAAATGTTGTTTTTTTTATCTTAAATGCAAAATGTTTACACAATCTTTTTTACCCATTTTTGTATCTTTCTGCTCAAGGTGGGTTGCTCTGTCAGTTAAAGACATATTTCAAAGCCGTTACACTCAAGTTAACAATTAATCAATTACCAAATTAGTTGACGATTATTTCAATAATTGATCAATCACGATTAATCTGATTAATTGTTTCAGTCCTAAACATCATACTCAATCAATACATTTCTACAATGAACATTCAAATCATATCTATGGGGCACGCTTCTCACTATGGAACTAGATCAGCGTCTGCAACCTGCGACTCCAGAGCCACGTGTGTCTCTTTGGCACCCTCACCATGGCTCCTTTAATTATTAAGGCATTGGCTAGGTGCTTCAATTTTTTTAGGTGGGCTACCTGTAGACTTTCATCCTTTATATGTATAATGGATCAATGAGCTTTACTCTCTTTCCCTGTTATAAAGGTTAAATTATCATTTTGCTTCTAAGTTAATACAATAAACAATTAAAGCTTGGAACAATTTCTCAAATTGGCTCTTTGAATTAAAAAATTCAAATTAAATTAAAAAATTCTGATCCATCCATCCATCCATCCATCCATCCATCCATCCATCCATCCATCCATCCATCCATCCATCCATCCATCCATCCATCCATCCATCCATCCATCCATCCATCCATCCATCCATTTCCTATGCTTAATCCTTGTTAGGGTCGCAGTGGGGCAGGTGCCTATCTCCGGCAGTCTAAGGGCAAGAGGCAGGTTACGACCAGGACAGGTCTGTCACAGTCTGTCACAGGGCAATACAGAGACACACAAAGACACACAACCATGCATAAACACACACGGCCAATTTAGAGTGGCCAATTAACCTAACAGTCAGGTTTTGGACTGTGGGAAGAAGCTAAAGTACCCAGAGAGAACCCACACATGCAAGGGAAGAACATGCAAACCCCATGCATAAAGACCCTTGGCCGAAATTGAACAGAATCTTCTTGCTGCAAGGCAGCAGCGGTACCCACTGCACCATTGTGCAGCCCATGTTCTGAACTATTACATTAAAAATAGCCGTTTGTGCTACTTCCACAGATGATCTCGCTCTTGAAATGGAATTGAACGTTTCAGATTAGCTAGCTGAATGAATGTAAGGGGTAGAGCGTAGCCGCCTGTGGCTGCCTGTCACAACTCTGCGCGGATGACGTCATACACTCGCCACTTTGTTTAAAAAAAATATAAATATTAAAAATATTACCGCAGATGTCTGGGGGACAGTGATTCGCCTACATGTTATGAATGCTGGCGTACCATAAATGATAAATTATGAACAGTTTAGCTTGTGCCTTGAACTCGTTGCTCATAGGAAGATGTTACTTGGATATAACAAAACCAAATATCTTCAGAACGGCTCCAAATGACACAAAATATGGGTGAGTAGAACATGATGTAAAACAGCGTTTGTTCCCCTTTAAACCATGAGAGGGGTGAGGTTGAGGACTGAATTGGTTTTGAAACAATAAATGTTTAGAACTGTGGTTCACCTTTAGAGCAGTAAACTACCAATTGGTGCCTACCGTCAACAAGGGCTGTCTTCTTGCTATCCTTGCCCGTAGTAAAGTCGAGTTGATTTCAAGAATACTGATTGTCCTGTCAACATAACTATGCCACCTGTGGGGAGTCTTTACAGTTCCTGCAGAGTTAACCTGGGAAGTTGTAAAATATGAGGATACTTTTGAAATACCGAGCTTTATCGTATCCATTTCAAGCTAATGTCAGTTACTCTGCAGGTCCTCTGACCTTTTGTGTGCAGCGTTTGTTCAGGTGTTCCTCATCCCACCATCATATCTTTCTTGACCATTTCTAATTTCACAACTGAACAGCCAACTGACTGACAACTTGAACTCCATCCTCACAGGGTAAGTAAAACTTGACTTGTCCCCATCTTGCTCTCATAATATTTTCAGATGGTTGTGCCAAACATTTGCAGAGAATCACTAATTGGGTTCTTTTGTATGAGAAGGCTATAAAAACAGCATCTAAATTTGTTTAAAGTCTGCCGCTGTTTCTCTAGCCGTGGCTGTTTCACAAACGATACCCTGGAAGGTCTTTTGGTGGCTGTTTGTTTTTTTCTGATTCATGTACTGAACGGCTGCTCCTGCAGCCAACTCAAACAATGTGAAATAACAGATTTGGAGCACTTCATGAAAACTGGATTATGTATTTAGCTGTGGATATAAAAGCTAAGAAATTATGACCTGTGTGAACAAAGTTTTGATTATTATTTTTTACAGTTAATAGACTAAAGCCTTTCAAAATGGCTTTAACTTTATTCCATAAATCCTGTGGATTAAACAATCATCAAATGAAGTCTAAACTAATAAAGCAATGTTGAAATGATGTATAGGCACGTACCCTGTCACCAGATTCTAATAAATTTGACTTTGAAGGTTCCCACCTTTTAGCCCGATCTGTCCGTCCTTATAAGTGACTCTGCATTCACGTGAAACGAGGCACTTAGGGGGTCCAAGACCTGCTCCAAGTCAAGCATGAGCACATATGTTACACAAATCAGCACGCGTCCATTCCTCTGCCTGTCAACACAGGGGGTCGGGTTACTGCGGCTGGTGAGGGAAGAGGAGTGAAATGCAGCGGGGCTGGGATGTAGCAGAGCAAACACATAAATCTACTCATCTCAGCCTTAGTGATATGTTAGCAGTGGGACATTTCCTTCCTTTTACCTCAGCATTCGTCCATACTGTCTTTTGCAAGTGTTAAATCAGCTCAGCTAAGCATATAAGGGCTTGCGAACCTCCAAAAAAAAAAAAAAAAAGACTTGATGTACAAGTGTATGGAAAAACAATGTCACAACTGCAGACCAAATATTACATTAAGACATGGTGGCTTTCCAAAGAGAGGAACCTACAGTTGATGTTTTGGTAACTCTGAAGCAAATTACAGGATAGTCAGTTCAAAAGGGGAAACAAGAAAGTCTCCTTTTTACAATTTACTTCAAAACAAGCTTAGCATACATGCATTAGAAGACGCTTCATTCAGACGAGATGAAAATTGAACAGTTGTACTTGAAACTAACGCTCCACTTTACCCTGCCATATGCTCTAGGAGACATTGCTTATTAGTTATTACTTTTTTTTCTGCAGGGACAGAGAAGCTGGGCAGGTTTTACAGAAGATTGACGGATGTAAATACAGGACAATCCTGGAAGCAAATTGGTTAGAGGCTGCAAAAGAGTTGATACTGGGTGGAAGGACACCTTCCAGCAACAAAAGGAGTCTAAACAGAAAACCAAAGCAACAATGGAATGGTCTATATTCAAGAATGCAAAACCCAGTAAAATGACCCAGTCAAAATTCAGCCCTAAATATAATAGAATTAAAACATTAAAACTTTCATCCAATCTGACTGAGTTCAAGCTTTATGGAAAAGAAGAATGGGGAAAAATCTCATCTTGTGGCCATGCAAAGCTAATGTGCACTTGGATCTATGATGTTATAGAAAGGTGGTTCTATAATCTGTTGATTTTTTTTAAAACATTTACAAAAACAAAAAAAACAATATCATTGTTAACCTTATTGAATTTATAAACTGCATTATGTTGACCCATCGCCTAACCATAACCGTTTCTATTTCTGTAATAAATACACTCTGCTACTATAAGCAGCTACCATACCCCCAGTCTTTTATCTTTTATCAGCAATGATTTTATAGAATAAAATAAGTAATTTGCTGTTTAGAAGTCACTGTGTGCATAATGATGACTGAATTACCATAATTAAAGGGTGGTAATTAGGTTTGGTGTTCATATTTAGGAGCGCATGCACACCCGACTCTATGGGGGTGTAAAAGCCTCTTTCTGGCTTAACGGTTTATAAGAGGGCAAAATGAAGCATAAGAGAGGCTCTCTAAACCTTGGAGATAAAATGTGTGAACGGTTCCAAACTGCACAGGTTGATACTGTAGTAATTCAGTAAACACATAAGATGGAAACTCTTTTCCACTCTGCCAACCGCTTCAGTTTGTTTAAACTTAGTTGTTGCTGCTTGAATGTATTAATTTTACACCAAGGATGGGATTGCATTGAAATCCATCCTGTAAATTTAGCCTGTGTTAACACTGGAGGTGGGCTACGTTTCAGCAGGTCTGCAGCATCCCACCGTGCTGTGCGTTTGGATTTGGTTACCTGCTGGCGGAGGCGCTTTTTATGTCAAACGGATATCTGTTCAGAGCCGCTGGGCTTGGCCACCCTGAAGCACAGAGGCGGCTGAACGCCCCCCGCAGCAAAGGTATACTTTGATAGAGGCCCCTGTAAGTGTTGTGACAGGGCACGGGAAGTGCCAAGTGCCCAGGGAGGAAGTATCAAATAAAATGGCATCTTGAAAGCCGGATGAATCGACAGGAATTTTAACACTTGTAGAGCGTATAAAAGGAGTTTTTCAGTATGATATGTTTAATTTCAACCACTTGATAAAGTCAGGATTGCTATTGCTAAAAAAATTATGTTTTTATTCATTCAACTGTGCAGAAAAAAGAATAAATGGAAACAGTTTGGTAAAACTCCATCACTTCTCATTCTTTTTCACACACACAGACCCTCTACACAGGGGTGTCAGTCAGTCTACAAGGGTCGGTGTCCTGCACGTTTCAGACGCTAGCGTTGGTTCTCTTTTTTAGAAGACTGTAGTTCAGAAAAAAATTGTTAATGAGCAAATCAGGTGTCCTGAAGGAGGAAAACATCTTTAACATCATCTTTAACAAATTTGTTAAATTGTGTTTTATGAAGTTAAAATATAATAGTGAATAGACTAAATAAAGTTAGGTAACATTAGAAATAATAATAACTGAACTTAATTGATCTCACACTGGAGAAATTTAACCCACTGGGAAGAATTGGGCTGCCATTGTGCGGTGCCTGGGGAGCAGTGTGGGATTAAGGGTCTTTGCTCAGGTACCCAGAGTGCAGGCTGTGGGGATCTAACCGGATATTTGCAACCTTCTCAGAGCACTGCTCTAACCACTATCCAAACACTCTCCTGTGACTATTTCAGTAAATTAGTCTATAAGAGAAACACTTCAGGTGGCAGAATATGTTAACAACTTTTTGTTTTCTTCTCTACTGTTGGAAGTGGTGGTATCATGCTGTGGGGATGCTGTTCTTTTAGGGAGCTGCTCAGTACATGGGAAGGTGGATTGAACTGAATACAGTGCAAAGGCTGCAAAGAACTTGTTACAGCGCCAAAGCATTTGCATTCGTTAGAAAACCCCAGTCTAAGTCCAGACCTAAAACACGCAGAGAATCTTTCAGGACTTTAAAAAATAGCATTTTGTGGGCACTGCAGCTAAGAATGAGATTTCCGTCTCCCAACAAATCAAAGATATCCCAAAATTTCTAATCTGTAATTAACAGAGAGACAATTGTTCCATAAGGCTTTGAAACATTGGTAGAACACAAATGCACGCAATCCCTTTCAGATTTGAGAAATTAAAATTAAATTTATAACTTCTCATTTACTTTACATTTTTCTTTGGAGCAAGGTTCTTCTGTCTTGTTTAATCAATTAAAAAGTAAATCACAATAAAGTTTGTTAATGTATTTTGAAAATATGTTAAAAAGTTAAAGGAGCAAGAAAATGTTTCGGTAGAACTACATTCGCCCTTGAAGTTTCCCTAGCATAACTATGAAATAAAAACAGAATGGTTGCACTAATTCAAGGTTCCGCAGGACCAAGGCGCCTCTCTTTAAGTTCTGCTCACTTTGACAATGTCTCCACCATGAAGTGCACTAAAAGGAAATCAGATTTCCAACTTGTTGCAAGCAACATTGGTTTCATCTTTAATGTGGTCAGCATTTTGACAAAAGTGTTTTCAGGGCTTGTGTTGTGAGATGTCTGGACCTAATTGTGGGCTAAAGCATTGCTGTGCAAGAGGAGGATGTCTGTCAAACAGTGAGACAGATTCTGGGAGACCTCCAAAAGCCCGAGAGGGACGCAGGGACACAGAAAGAGCAGGGGTGGCTTGAAAAGTCTCAGCTCCAGCTTTTTCCTGTTCCATTCACAGATCCAAATCATCTGCCACAGACACTTTGTGGCTGAGTCAATGAGGTGGAGAGCTGGAGAGAGAGAGACAGACAGAGAAATGAAGGGAGGAGATACACAAACAGAAGGGAATGTTTGGGGGAGGATATTTAGGGAGGGAAAACAAGAAGTGAATGGGCCACATGGGTGGCTTCCAGTGGGGATGTTTTATTTCTTTTGGCTTCTTGAGTGACAGGGCCATCATCGCTGAGAAATCAATGACATAATGCAGACAACGTGGACAGAAAGCTTTGAAGCACCTTGGTCTTTTACCCCATGCAATCAGGATTACGTTGCAAACACACACAGGCTTTTTGTCGACTTGCTTTTAATCTATTGGTGGATTCTGACACAGAGAATCTAAGTGCAACAGTTAGTGGGCTTAAAAAGAACAAGCCTACTTTTAAAATCATACACTGCTGTTTTTGGTTGAGACAATTTAAATTAAGGTTTAATCAAATACTATTCTTAATCTGTTTATAAGTGTTCTAAATTAGACAGGACTATTTAGAGATATTATTTTGTTGCCTGTATTTTTTTGTACAGAACATTGTACAACCTGTTGGGTTAAAAACGACTGAGTTGCTTTTTTATTTCTATTTTTTAATAACCTGGTTCTGGATTTTGCAAGAACCAATGTAGCCCTGGAGTGATTTATCACAGTGTACTTGGGGGGAAAAACTTCTTAAAATGAACCACGTCTAGTGTTAAGGTTGGGAGTTAGCGCATTGCAAATATTAAGGTGAAAACTAAATATTAAATTCGCTCTGGGAATTATTGCATACATTAAATTTATGAATAACTATTTTTTTTTGTGCGAAGGATAAACAGAGGCAGTGCAAGCTTGCACAGGCTTAGCAGTTCATTACATTTAAATCTGTAAAAATTGATTAGTCTTTTTTAACTCAACAAGCTTGATCAAACTTTCAGTATTTATATTTTTGATTTTAAACTTTTTTGCAGAAGCAGCTTCACTAATGGGAGAGATGTTGAAGTTTCAATGACCTCTAGACATTTGCTGACCTCCACATTGCCCAGCCTTCCTTCCCCCATTTAGACAGCCTTATATTCATCATGTTTGTTTGAGTTATGAATTCAGGACAGGAGACAATTGTTTTTTTTTTTCACATATTAACTGTTGTCTTTTTGAGCGGGCCACTCTATTAACAAACCCAGCACTAAATACGTAGTAACAGCATAAAGTAGTAGCATAATTAAACCCTTCCCTTTTTGGGGGAAGATGAATATGTGGATATGTCATTATCTGTGGTATATATTTTGTTTTGTTTTTTACTTAAAAGTTGTGTTAAATGTTAAGGGGAAAAACAGTGCCAATGGTATTGTTTTAGCTGGCAGAGAATCCGTCACTAAATCAAGTTCTGTTGAAGATAGCTTCTATATTTTAACACATATCCAAGCTTTGCTGTACTTACCTCT